GGAGTCTCTACTTCATTTTTTCGGTAAGTAAAATTATATTTATGTATTTAGGTCACTGCCGAGCTGAGCTTAGATTTTAACATGTACTGTTTAACCATGAAATTTAAATGTAATAGGGTAAACCCCAGTGCATTTAACATAGTGCAACAAAATCGGTTGAAATATAACATGTTGGTGGAGCTGAGTTCAGACTATCGGCTTGTGGAGCTCTCTGGAGACCTCTGTTTTCCACCCGTTTCTCCCCTCCCCGCAGCTCGGCACATCTCTGTCTGATCGCGGCTTCTGTCTGATGCGCGGGCTGCCGGCTTGTGGAGCTCTGGGATGGAAACCTTTCCACCCGGTTCTCCCCAGTAGCAGCTCTGCACATCTCAGATCGCAGCGGTGCTTGTCTGCTGTGTGGCTGCCGGCTTGTGGAGGTCTCCGAGACCTCTGTGGAGGTCTGGAGACCTCTGTGTTCCACCCGGTTTTACCCAGCGGTCAGCCTGGTGTATCTCTGACTCAGAAGCTCTGGTGTTGTGCACAGTTAACTCCGGTTGTAGCTAGGTTGCTACCTCCGTTAGCTTAGCTCCCACCTCCGCGTTAGCTTTGGGTTAGCTTCAGGTTAGCTTGTAGCTAGTTCGACCGGGTGTCGTCAGTTGATCCCAGCCTTACAGCCCCACCCTCAGCTCCTCCTCATTTCCCTTTTGTGGAATTGTCTGGGCTTGACGGAACCTGCGACACGGTCAAAATGGCGGTGGTGGCCACCTCCCATTTGGCCTCAAAAACATGATATTGGAGCCTATGGAAAGGAGATGTCCAGTATACTTACGTCGATGTCCCTCTCCTGTTTCTTCTTGAAACCCGACATTGGGTTTCAAGGAGAAACAGGAGAGGGAGGGGAAGAAGGAGATGAGGGAAACAGAGTGAGTGTGACGTAGAGAAACCAGACTGGTGTGGAGGTGAGCAAAACGGCTGGAAATGTGTGGGTGTTGAACGATCTCAATAAGAAAAGTGTGGGTGTTGACTCCCCCACATCACCCATGGTGCGACGCCCATGGGTGTGGAAGTGGAGGGCTTCCAGGAGCTCCCTTTAACTCACCTGAAATTCGAATCCTGCGTATAGCACAAGTTGGTCACGTGAGTAGCCGGTTCCTAGCAGAAAGTTGCCGGAACGGTCCTTTCAAAATAAAATAGTTCCCGGATCTTGTTGCGGCAAGATCAGGCTCAAATTAAGCACTGGCCCTGATGCAATAAAAGCATGAATAACTGTTTCAAAATCCTTTTTTGACACCAAGGTCTTTACTTTGGCGATCCTTTGATTGATTGATTTCCCTTCTGATTTTGCCCATATTTTGAAATCAATTTTTGAAGTTATTTTTTGTGTTTTGAATTTTTGTTCTTGTGAAGCGACTCCTGATTTTTAACTTGAGAGGTGCTATGTAAAAGATTGTTTTCTTTCTTATGGAAAAATGTATGGAGAAGACTTTCAAAATTAAACAGAATCCTTCAACATTATGTCACACCCTGTCCTGTCACTCCATTTTGTTCAGCCTTGTGTCTCCGTTAATTGCTCCCACCTGCCTCCCGTTTCCCAATCACCTTAGCTCCCGGCCCTCGTGTATTTAAACCCCTTCTGTTCTGTGTTTTGTGTCGGATCATTGTTTCATTGTCCAGCGTGTCTCCTAATAAATAAGTGTAAGAATTCCTACCCGTCTGCCTGTTTCCTCCCCGCATCTGGATCCTCGCCTCACCTCGGCTTCATTCACCGGCACGTGTGACAGAATGATCCGACCCGAACCCATTAAAGGATCCAACGGGGAGATTCTACCCTGAGAGTGCCTGCTCCGGTTCCTCTCCTTCGATGACCGGCTGACTTCCAGCTTCGCCTCGCCGAAGACGCCGTCACCGACCTTCGGCCGCGGCGTTCCTCCCCACCCTCCCGGAGCCAGAGACTAGTTTGGACCGGGAGCCGCTTCCAGATCGCTCCAGTTTCTTTGGCACGAGCCTGGCTGTCTGTTCCCCCGGAGTTGGTCCACGGAGTGGGGAAAAACGCCGAGCTCCACCGCAGCCCTGTGTCCCGGGACGGAGCTGCGGACTCGCCGCTGCCCGACGCAGCAGCTTGGACCCATCCCCGGCCAGATCAGCAGTCCCGTCACTGGCCCAATCGGCGCACCTGTCATCTGCAGGCGGAGGAGCAATGCCTGCAGCCCAGCTGACAGAGCTCGTCGGTCTCCAGGCAGAACTTGGCCGGATCCGCCAGCTCGTCAGCCTCCAGGAGTCCCAGCTGGACACTCTATCCTCCTCGAACTGCCAGGAGAGGGCCTCGGCCCAGCCGGCAGCTCCCTCATCTCAGAGCCAGAGGAGTGAGCCCGAGGTCCACCCAGTGGAGCTCGCCGGTCTCCGGGCTGAGCTGGCCCAGCTCCATCTGACTCAGCCTCCAGGAGCTTCAGCTAGATGGTCTGTCCTCCCTGTCCTCCCGGTTTCCAGTACCACCAGTTCAGATCCAGCCTGTCCAGGCAGCCCCTCCCGCTGCGGCTCCGTCTCCACTCCAGAAGCAGACGGTTCTGGCCCAGAAACAGATGGATCCGGTTCCGGCCCAGAAGCAGACGGTTCTGGCCCATAAACAGATGGTTCCGGTTCCGGCCCAGAAGCAGACGGTTCCGGTTCCGGCCCAGAAGCAGACGGCAAACAATTCAGAAGTCGACGCCCCTGGACCAGAAGTCGACGCCCCCGGACCAGAAGTCGACGCACCCGGGCCAGATGTCGACGCCCCCGGGCCAGATGTCGATGCCCCCGGACCAGAAGTCGACGCCCCCAGACCAGAAGTCGACGCCCCCAGACCAGAAGTCGACCGTCCAGAGGGCGACGGTCCAGAGGTCGACGGTCCAGAGGTCGAGGGTCCAGAAGTCGACGGTTCAGAAGTCGATGGACCAGAAGTCGACACCTCCGGACCAGGAATTGACGCCCCGGACCAGAAGTTGATGGAGGTCGACGCCTCTTCGTGTTCTGAAGTCAACGCCTCTTCGTGTTCTGCCGTTGACGCCTCTTCGTGTTCTGAAGTCGACGCCTCTTCGTGTTCTGAAGTCGACGCCTCTTCGTGTTCTGAAGTCGACGTCTCCTCTTGTTCTGAAGTCGACACCTCCTCGTGTTCTGAAGTCGACGCCTCCTCGTGTTCTGAAGTCGACGCCTCATCCACTCCAGAGGTCGACGCCTCATCCACTCCAGAGGTCGACGCCTCTTCCACTCCAAGGGTCGACGCCTCTTCCAGTCCAGGGGTCGACGCCTCTTCCAGTCCAAGGGTCGACGCCTCTTCCAGTCCAAGGGCCGACGCCTCTTCCAGTCCAAGGGCCGACGCCTCTTCCAGTCCAAGGGTCGATGCCTCTTCCAGTCCAAGGGTCGATGCCTCTTCCAGTCCAAGGGTCGACACCTCCTCTGAAGTCGGCACCTCCTCTGAAGTCGGTGCCTCCTCTGAAGTCGGCGCCTCATCTGAAGTCGGCACCTCCTCTGTCTGCGCCTCCTCTGTTGGCGCCTCTTCTGAAGTCGGCGCTCTCTTCAGTCCAGAGGTCGACACTCTCTTGTGTCCAGAGGTCAACGCTCTCTCGTTTCCAGAGGTCGACGCTCTCTTGTGTCCAGAGGTCGACGCTCCCTCTGGTCCGACGTCTCCGCCATCTCCAGTTCCAGTGGTGGTTCCGGGGGTCGCACTGTATCTGGTCCAGCCCTTCCACGAGGCTTTGTCTCTGATCCAGCCCGCCCAAGGGGCTTTGTCTCCAGTCCAGCCCGTCCAAGGGGCTTTGTCTCCGGTCTAGCCTGTCCAAGGGGCTTTGTCTCCGATCCAGCCCGTCCAAGGGGCTTTGTCTCCGGTCCAGTCTGTCCAAGAGGTTTTGTCTCCGATCCAGCCCATCCAAGGGGCTTTGTCCCCGGTCCAGCCCATCCAAGAGGCTTTGTCCCGGGCCCAGCTTGTCCAATAGGCTTTGCCCTCGGTCCAGCCTGCAGAGACTTTGTCCCAGGCCCAGCCTGCAAAGACTTTGTCCCCAGTCCAGCCTGCAGAGCTCCTCTGCCGTAAACGCCGGCCTCCTAGAGCCCGTCTCCTCCTCCACTGCCGCAGACGCAGGCCTCCAAGAGCCCGTCGCCTCCTCCACTGCCGCAGACGCAGGCCTCCAAGAGCCCGTCGCCTCCTCCACTGCCGCAGATGCAGGCCTCCCAAGAGCCCGTCGCCTCCTCCACTGCCGCAGACGCAGGCCTCCAAGAGCCCGTCGCCTCCTCCTCTGCCGCAGACGCAGGCCTCCAAGAGCCCGTCGCCTCTTCCTCTGCCGCAGACGCAGGCCTCCAAGAGCCCGTCGCCTCCTCCTCTGCCGCAGACGCAGGCCTCCAAGGGCCCGTCGCCTCCTCCTCTGCCGCAGACGCAGGCCTCCAAGGGCCGTCGCCTCCTCCTCTGCCCCAAGCGCAGGCCTCCAAGAGCCCGTCGTCTCCTCCTTCTCTGCCCCAGGCGCAGGCCCCCGGACTCTGCTGGTCCCTGCCTCCTCTCCGTTGGTCCCTCTGTTCCTCTTGGCCCTCCATCCGGGTCCCCCTCCCCCCACCCTGCTCCTTGTTCCTGTGAGCATCTGGGATCCGCCCTTTGGGGGGGGGGGTGGGGGGTGGGGGTGACTGTCACACCCTGTCCTGTCACCCCGTTTTGTTCAGCCTTGTGTCTTCGTTAATTGCTCCCACCTGCCTCTCGTTTCCCAATCACCTTAGCTCCCGGCCCTCGTGTATTTAAACCCCTTCTGTTCTGTGTCTTGTGTCGGATCATTGTTTCATTGTCCAGCGTGTCTCCTAATAAATAAGTGTAAGAATTCCTACCCGTCTGCCTGTTTCCTCCCCGCGTCTGGATCCTCGCCTCACCTCGGCTTCATTCACCGGCATGTGTGACACATTATACAGTTGATGTCATGGTGCAAGTGTTAAACAAACCAGACATATTTGCCGATAGACAAAACACAGCGTGCTTAGACGTTGATAAAAGCAAATCAACAGAAACAAAATCAAAATTCTAACTTTTATTTTAAAACAGTTACTCATTGCTCACAGTGCTGTGGCATTTTCTCGAACTAAACATTTTTTACTCATAGGTGCATTATTGTCACCTTGTTACATACCACCCACTGCTGGTCAAAAGCCTTTTTCATCCACGTTTGGATGCTGTTTAGCTGAGACTCCTTCATTTTCACCGCTGCCTCCTGGATAAATCCACATCTGGGAGCATTGCTACTATCAGCTCTTCGTTCTCAAATGTGGGACCTTTCCCACCAGCAACATGGTATGGAACAAAAATACACGCATCCCATATTTGTTGCTACTCCCCACTGTAATAATCTACTCTTCCACATATAATTTGCCACCACTTTGCTTTGTCTGTCTTTAGCTTGATCTGTTGCCCTTTCCAGCTGTTTCATGTGGTTGCAGACTTTAAGATGAGCAGAGCGACTCAGACCCATAGGCACTCATGCAAAATACATTCTTACTTGTCTAGGGCTACATCCCACAATGCACTGGGACACGATCTACTTTTAGCTACTGAGGCATACACTATTATTTCTTAATATTTCACTGAAAGAAAAGAAAAACCAAAACAACTGATTTCAGACTCGACTGTCCTTCACTGGGTTCCTGGTTTAACAGAACGAACTTTCAGAGAAAACTGTGGTGGAAGCCCTCGTTGTCTGAAGACCTGGAATTAAGAATAACGTTGTTAATAATAATTATAATAATAAACATCATTAAATACTCAGTAAAACAATCCTAATTCAGCCTCACCTTTGATAAAACATCTTCCATCTGTGACACTGACAGGTGGTCACCAAGCT